GTGATGGCCAGTGCAGATCCCTCTCAGAGTCTGCTGCGGCGGGTTGATGATGCAGACTCCTGGACCAAGGCTGTGATTTTGATGTTCCCCGGATGCCCTCTGGACATGGAACGACTTGACTCTCCCAGCAGCCTTGAATCAGGGGCTTGTTTTCCTCCAGCCGTGATGACACTGGGTTAGCAAACACTGACACCTGACAAAAATCCCACGTTAGTATTTTAATTTGCTTTTCTTTCTGATGGAGGCACTTCCCTGGTTTAAAAATCATTTGTGGGCCCGCCCTGTGGCCCGGTGGTTAGGTTCGGCACGCTCCACTTTGGTGGCCCAGGTTCAGTTCCCGGTCACAGACCTACACCACTCGTCTGTCAGTGGCCATGCTGTGGTGGTGGCCCCCAGACAGAATGAGTAAGATTGGCAGCAGATGTTAGCTCACGGCGAATCTTGCTCGGCAAAAACAAGAAGGGCTGGCCCGGGGCTTAGCGGTTAAGTGCAGGCGCTCCGCTATTGGCGGCCCGGGTTCAGATCCAGGCGCGCACCAACACACCGCTTCTCCGGCCATGCTGAGGCCGCGTCCCACATACAGCAACTAGAAGGATGTGCAACTATGACATATAACTATCTACTGGGGCTTTGGGGGGAAAAAAAAAATCGTGTAAGAACTTGGCTCATTTCTCACTGGTTGCTGGTCATTTTTGTTTTGTAAAAGCTCTTTAGTTGGGCTAAAGCCTGAAAATCCCCTCATATGTTGCAAGTTCTTTTTTTCCAGGGCCCTTTTTGATGTTTAAGGTATATTTGAGGGGGGCCATGCTAAAATTTTTGCCTACTCAGTTTCATTAATCTTCTGTGATTTTTGGCAGAAACTCCTAATTGCCCTCAAATACTCTCTTTCCCTCCTCAGTAAAAGGATCTCCATATCTAGATGCCACCCAAAAAAGAAAGTTTCCCAGTCGCCCTTTTGGTTAGGGGCGGCCATGTGATAGTCACGTGTGCCATTTCCAGCAGATGCCCATCCGGCTGGAACATAGGCATAATGGCCAGTGCTCAGGCAGCCAGCTTTGGCCATGGAGAAGCCACACACTGAGCAACGAGGTGGAAGGAGCTCGGGTACCTGACCTGTATCTGTAGAACTTGAGGGTGAAGGAGACCCTAGGCCTGCTTAGGCTGTGATCTGGAACTCCTGACGGCCTGGAGGTGGGCCCTGATGGCTGTGCCTGGGGCAAGTCAGGGCCACTTAGAGCCTTAGTCTCTTCCTGTGTGAAGTGGGGGTGGGGGGCTTCAGATGCGGGAGCGGTTGAGAGTCCAGGCGGCTCACGTGGGAGGTTGCTTCACCAGGAACGTGGGAGGCCAGGGCCCCACAAAGGCCCAGCATGGACTCCCGTCCCCACCTCAGGCTCCACCAGGTCTTCATTACAGCCTGGGGACCAGTTGAGGGGGCTCTGCCCCAACCAGCTGAGGGGTGGGGTCAGTCTTATTATTTAGGGGGCCTTGAACCAAGGAAGAGTGAGCCCCCAGCTCCCTAACCAACTGTTCGTCCACTGTCCTGCTGGCTCCTCACCCTCTTGGGTTTCCCCGCAGCCCCTCTACTGTGTAACCACCCACCTGGCAGTTCCCCACAGACCCTGCGCAGAGGGGCGTCAGGATGGGGGCTGGGGTGAGGACCACTGAGCTGAGTCCTCCCGCTCCAGAGGAAGCTGAGGCGCCAGGACCCACGCTGGCAAAGGCCCAGAGCCAGGACGAAACGGGCGCTTCAAGTGGGGCTGTGAGGCGGCCGGCTGTGTAGACCGCTGACTCCTCTCCGGGAGAGGGACAGGTCCTGCGCCGGCTCACCCAGCCAGCCCGAGGGTGATGAGGGCAGGAATGGGGAAGTCGCGTGTCCCTGGCAGACCTCTCCCACCTCCTCGGGTGCGGGGCACTCCCAGGTCCCGTCCCTGGGCTTGCCCAGGTGCCAGGTGTCGTGCCGTGGCGGGGCGGGGAGCCGCTGCTGCCCGCACTGCGCCTGAGTCAGGACCGTGGGGGCGAGGGCGGGTGCGGAGACCAGATCTGGCTCCTGGAACAGACCGAGCGCCCCAGTCGCAGCATCAACTGCACCTGGAGTGGTCGAGGTGGGTGTCTCTTGAATGCGGGGTAGAAGTTCAAGGCCAGACACCCAGCAGGTCGTGCTGGGGCCACAGGACCTCACAGCCTCTCACCCCTGCCCTTGCCTTGTCTCCAGGGAGACCCAGGGGCACTGGGGTGCCCAGCCCGCGGGCAGGGGTCAGAGCAGCAGATACCCACGCAGCCCTGGACATTCCTGCCCCTTCTGCTCAGACTGCTGCTAGGCCTTCAGGGGTGGCTCTGCTCCTCTCCCCCATCGATGAGGATAGATGGGGGTCTTTCCAACTCATATCCTGGGGTCCTGCCTGCCCCCTTCCCGTTCTGGGCTGGGCATTGTACAGTCAGGGAAGGTGTGACTGCTTCTCCCCCACCCTGCCCCCTGCCCCCTCCACGCTTCCTCCTCCTCAGCCCCTGCAGGGCTCCTAGTTCTGGGTCTCCTCTTGTGTTCTGGTTTTCCAGAACATGTTCCAAATCCACCCGTTTCTCCCCACCCCACAGCCCCCCCTTGGGCATGGCAGGCTTTTCAGAACCTAGAAATCTCATTAGGTCCCTCATTTGGTCCAAACTCTCCAGTGGCCCCGCAGCACCCTCAGAATAAAATCCACACCCCTCCCCAAGGCTCAAGGGCCCTTGCAGCCCTTCCTGTCCTCACTTACCCTTTCGCCCTTCTGCTCCTTCCCACCCCAGGGCCTTTGCGCTAGTGGTTCCCCTGCCTGAAGCACCCTTCCCCAGCTCTCTCCAGGCCCAGCTCATTCTCTGCCTGCAGGTCTCCACTCACCTCCTCAGAGGTCCCCTTTCAGAGGTCCCCCATAAAGGCGGTCCCCAGGCTGTCTCCATCTCTGACCTTGCTTCACTCTTGTCATCCATTGGCTTCATTCATCTGCTGGCTTGGTCAGTGCGGTGAGCCCCCGTGAGCCTGTGCGAGAGGTGGGTCCACCTGGACTCTGCTGTATCCCCAGCACGTGGCCCAGGGCCCTGCACGCAGTAGGCACTAGATGAACCGGCCTCAGCCCAGGCGTCAGTCTGCAGCCTGGACCCCCCTCCCCCATGGTGGGGAAAGGGGAGCTGGCAGGGGACGGTACCGCCTCCCAGAACCTGCCCCGGTGAGACAGGGCTGGCTTGTGGGTTTGCACAATTTGCATATATTTGCACGGCTTTGCGGGAAGGGATCCTGGCCGGGATTTCCCCTTTCCCACCAGGTTTTCCAGGGGTACGCAGAGCGGCCGGTGTCCTCCCCACCCTCTGGGGCGGGCGGAGGGTGCGTGCCAGCAGGCAGCAGATGCCCGTGTGGCAGCCGCGGTGTTGCAGCCCCAGGGGAGGGGCAGGCCCGCCCCACACAACGCGGGGAGAGGGAGAGAGAAGACAGTCCCGGGGGACACCTGCGGATACATGGGGGACGCTGGGCCCGGCTGGAGAGGCTCGTGTAGGCCAGAGGACGCCGCCAGGGGGTGGCAGAGTCTGGGGAGGACTCCAGTCTCCTCCCATGTAACCTGGCGGATTCTTAGATCTCCCCCCTTGTGGAGGAAGGAGCCTGGCTTTTGAAGGCTGAGCCAGGACTCCAACCCAGAAGTCAGAGCTTCTAGAGGCCGTGGTCCCTCTGGGTTCACTAAGGGAGAGCCCCAAGATGACAGTGTCTGGGTCACTTGATGGCATGACCTCAGGCAAAGGACTTCCCCTCCCTGGCCCTCAGTCTCCTCATTTGTGCGATAGGGACATGCAGACACCACCCCCAGGTGGTCACGGGTCTCCATTTATTCGGGTGTGTGGCCACTGACAGCCCCTCCCTGACCACCATTATACACGGATTGCTGGCACAGGGCTGGAACTCAGCGCGTGTTTGAGGAAGGAACCGACAAATGAACGCGGTGCCAACTCTGTGCCGGGCTTCTGTTATGCAGGCTCAGTGTATCCCCTGAGGCAGTGGCTGTTTTGTCCCTATGTACAGATGGGAAAACTGAGGCCCAGAGAGAAGCAAAGACCTCCTCAAGTATGTTCACACTCAGGGCTTAACCCCGATGGTTCCCACTCAGCTTGGCCTGAGGGCGGCGATGCCCTCACGACAGGCTCTAGAGAAAAGGTGGGTCCCGGTGCCAGTCGGGGGAGGGGTTCACGCAGAGCTCGTTTTCCTTATGGGACCACGAACCCCTGAAAGTGCCCCCAGTCCTGTGGGAGAGGGAGCTCTCTGTAGCTCAAGGTACAAAAGCAGGATTTGAATGCTTAAGTCACTGCTCCCAGCTGTGTGGCCTCGGGTGAGTGACATGCCATCTCTGAACCTCAGTTTCTCCACCTGTCAATGGGAGACACTAACGGCCCGTGGTCAGGGGAAAGTGTCCCAGGAAGCAAGGGGGCATTTGGAGCCTCCCCGCCCCCACCCCAGCAGCCACCCACGTGGCCTGTCCCGGCCTGCCTGACCCAGTCCCGGGCAGAAAGGGTGCGGGTCCCGCCCGCCCCAAGTCCGGAGGCGGGGCTTCGCTGACCCGGGAGCGCAATAAATCCGCAGCCCGCCGCCGCGAACGGCCCCACTGAGCCCCACCGAGATCTCCAGCTGTCGGCGCTGAGCACAGCTCGCGGGGGACGGACAGACGGCCTGCTGGGCGGGGGACACAGGGCGCACGGGGCCGCCGGACCGAGTGGGAGACAGACAGCCGGAGAGGCAGACGCGTAGACGAAGAGGAGGGACAGTGGGCGGACGACTGCTGCAAGGACCCGCAGATCCCTCGCGCGGGAGCCCCGGCCCGAGCCCTCTCGCTGCCTCCCGCAGGGGACCGAAGCGGACAGCGTGGGCCTCGCTGCGGGGGCCCAGCATCCTCCCACCTCCCCGCAGCTGTGCCTCCTGGGCTGCTGCCAGCCTCCCTCAGCCGGGCACGCGGGGCGGCTGGAAGGGCCGGGGACGCGCTTGGCGCCCGCACCCACCCCCATGGGCGCCACCGAGGCAGGGGCGCGGGCCACGTTCGGAGCCTGGGACTACGGGGTCTTCGCCCTCATGCTGCTGGTGTCCACGGGCATCGGGCTGTGGGTGGGGCTGGCGCGGGGCGGGCAGCGCAGCGCCGAGGACTTCTTCACGGGGGGCCGGCGCCTGGCGGCGCTGCCCGTCGGCCTCTCGCTGTCCGCCAGCTTCATGTCGGCCGTGCAGGTGCTGGGCGTGCCGGCCGAGGCCTACCGCTACGGCCTCAAGTTCCTCTGGATGTGCCTGGGCCAGCTGCTCAACTCCCTGCTCACCGCCGCCTTCTTCCTGCCCGTCTTCTACCGCCTGGGCCTCACCAGCACCTACCAGGTACCGGGCAGAGGCCCTGCCCGACTGCGAACGCAGGGTAGCCGCGGGGTCGCCCGGGGCCGGCCGCGCTGTGCAGCGGCCGCAGGCGGGCTCCTCGGTGCTCTCCTCGGGGCCGCAGGCGGGCAGGTGGGGCGGGTTCCGGGAAGAAGCCGCGGGCGGTGGGGCGAGGGGCAGGAAGGAGGAAGAGGAGCCGGCGTCCTGGCTGTCTTCAGTGGAAGCCCCGGGGGGCGGGGCCCTCACGGGCGGACGGGCACACGCCTGCCCCCCACGTGCCTGGGCGTGCGCACGCGCCAGTGCTCCGCGGACGGCCGGCTCGGGGCTCGAAACCCGCTTCCCCGATTCCTCCTACTTCCGGCAAGGGGCGTGCCTCTCTGCTCGGGTTTCCCAAATGTCAGACCCGGCTAATTACAGACCTCCCTCCAGGGCAGTGAGTAAAGGGATTAAAATTGTGACCAGTGTATTGTGTGTTGTGATACAGTAGGCGCCCAGTAACAGCTGGCCACAGGCACTGTCTGCATCGTGCGCACGTGGACAGTCCGAGTACTTAGACCGCCAGCCGCCACGGGGGCCGATCAGCCCCCGAGTGCGGGGAGGGGGCGACATGTGCACACTCGATGGATCGGTCCTCCCGGGCACACGCCGTGTGCACAGGCGCGGGGATGGCGCGTGTGCATGGGTGTGTGCGGACAGGTCGGAGTGTGGGCTCGGCCGGGCCCCCACGGGCAAGAATGCGGAGAGCGCAGGTGGCCGCTGGAGGGAGGGCAGAAGGGAAGAGGGCGGGTGAAGGACCCCAGAGGTCTCGAGCCCCTGGGTAGGACCTGTCCCGGTGACCACGAGCCCTCGGCTCCTCTTTGCAGTACCTGGAGCTGCGCTTCAGCCGCGCCGTGCGGCTCTGCGGGACCCTGCAGTACCTGGTGGCCACAGTGAGTGCCCTAGCCAGCAGGGTCCCGCCTTCGACGGCCCCGCCCCATGGGCCCCGCCCACGCCGCTGACCACGCCCCCTGCGGCCCTGGCTATGGGTTTGCCCCCCAGGCCTCTCCTATTCGCCCGACCTGGCCCCGCCCCCACGCAGCCTGGCCCCGCCCATCCTCTCCCTCCTCTACCCCAACCACCCTCCAGCCCCATCTCCCGAGCCCCTCCTCGCCGACACCACCACCGCCACTACCCTCCCCCGCCCTGCCTCACTGCCCCGCCGTCTACCTGCAGATGCTGTACACCGGCATCGTGATCTACGCCCCCGCGCTCATCCTGAACCAAGGTTGACTCTGGGAGACCCGGGGAGGTGACCGGGAGGGGCAAAGGCTAGAGACCGGACCGAGGAGTGGGGAGGAGCCACCCACGGAGAGTTGGGAAGGAAGAACCCTCCTGGAGCGAGGAGGGCCCAGGACACTGGGGGCCAAGCTTACACCCGCCCAGTAGCCTAATAGGGGGTCTCCTTGCCCAGTGACCGGGCTGGACATCTGGGCGTCGCTCCTTTCCACCGGAGCCATCTGCACCTTCTACACGACTGTGGTGAGTCCCCCCACCCGACGTGGGGGCTCCATGCTCACCGAGAGGGGGAGACCCTGCACTGCTCTGTCCACCTTCCCTTCCTCCCCAGGAAGCCTGTGTCCCAGCTGGCCTGTGTCCTCATCTTTATGATGGAAGGGGATGTGAAAGGTTTACTGCTGAGAGTCCAGGGTTAAGCTAGTTTCAGGCATGGCTGGATCCAGGGGCTACAACAGCATCCTCTGGGTCCCTCTGCCATCTTTAGGGGCCCCATCAGCTCCAGGCTTCCACCCCTTTGGGCTTCCTTCCAGCAGAAAGTGAGTTCCTATTTCAGGCTGGCTAATGTCCCAGGAAGGCTGTTTGACTGGCTCTGGTCTTGTGTGCAGGATGAGCCATTCACAGAAGTTTGGGGGGCTGGGAAGTTCTGGCTGGCTATTCCTGGATCTGGGAGCGGAGCTGGCCTCACCTGAATGGCCTACGGGGGGGGGGCTTCTCCAAAGGAAAATCCAGGGGCTGCCATGGAGGCTGGAGGGTAAAAACAATAGCTAATAATAACAGTAGTGGCAGCCAGCACTCACTCCCTCACTGAACATGTGTGTGTGCCAGGTGCTGTGCCAAGGCTTTTTCTCACAACAACACCCATAGGGAGTACCATTATTAACCCCATTTTACAGAGGAGGAAACAGGCAGACAGGGGCATCTGACCAGCCAGGTCCCCGTGTGACCCCCTCCCTCTCTCTGTCACATCTTGCAGGGCGGCATGAAGGCTGTCATCTGGACTGACGTGTTCCAGGTCGTGGTGATGCTGGCTGGCTTCTGGGTTGTCCTGGCCCAGGGGACCATGCTCGTGGGCGGGCCTAGGCACATGCTCAGGCTGGCCCAGAACCACTCCCGGATCAATCTGATGGAGTGAGTGGAAATGTAGAGGAGGATACTGCAAAATGACAGGGCTGGCATCCCTCTGCCCTGGGAGAAGCCAGCTGATGTCTCCTGCTGCTCCCCTCCCCAGACTCCCCACAGAGAGAACCCTGGCTCCCCCTCTCTGTACTTCCCTAGCCCCCATTCCTCCATCGGGCCCAGACCTCCGCACCACCCCATCCCCCAGCCCCGACTGGGGACTGAAGGCTCTCTGAGGTTCCAGCTGGTCACAGAAAAAATGGTTTTGGAATGCATACATGGAAGACTCAGTAAACAAATAAATGAATTTTCAATCTGGCAAACTCCTACTCACACTTCAAAACCCACCCCAAATGTCCCCTTAAGGCCCATGAGGTCCAGAATGGCCATCTGGGTCCTGGGGAGGGTGAAGTCAGTGTGGCATCCCCACATGCCTGACATGCTCTGCCCTCATCTAGCTTTGACCTGGACCCTCGGAGTCGTTACACATTCTGGACTTTTGTGGTGGGCGGCACATTGGTGTGGCTCTCGATGTATGGTGTGAACCAGGCACAGGTGCAGCGCTATGTGGCCTGCTGCACAGAGAAGCAGGCCAAGCTGTGAGTGTCTAGGAGGGTCGGGGGGCCCCTGGGATGTGCTGCCCCTCCCCAGCCTGAGGCTGCCCCTCCCCCAGGGCTCTGCTCATCAACCAGCTGGGCCTGTTCCTGATCGTGTCCAGCGCCGCTGGCTGTGGTATCGTCATGTTCACCTTCTACCTCGACTGCGACCCTCTGCTCACAGGGCGGATCTCCGCCCCGGACCAGGTGAGTCCGGCCCGGCTCCTGGCCACTCCCATCCCACCCCGCTCTGAATCTCTGTATGGGTGAATTCTGGGGGTGAGGGTGGAAGAGCGTTCCTAGCAGGGGGAACAGCCTGTGCAAAGGCCCAGGGGCAGCAAAGAGCTTGACTCAGAGGAGGATCCAACAGGAGTGGCCAAGATGAGGCCGGGAGGTGATGGGGAGCCGCGTGGGGTGTGAGCAGGGGAGGGGCACATCCAGATCCAGAGTCAAAGACTCCCTGAGGGGTATAAGGAGGAGATGTGACCATGGTCCAGCATGAAACGATAGTGTTGATATTAGTAAGAACGACCAGCTCCCACGTCCCAAGCACCTACTCTGCCTCATGCGGTCCCCTTCACAAGAGGTATCTCATCAAATCCTTCAGCATACGCTGAGGCCAACGTTGTCATGGCCCCCACTTTACAGATGAGGAAACTGAGGCTGGAGGGCATGGGAAGCAACTGCCTGAGGTCCGCAGGCAAGTCAGGGGTGTTGCCAGGGCCAGGACCCATGCCCAGGTCACAGCGTGGCGGAGCTCTAGCCACGGGGTTCAGAGTTGGCAGAGGCTGTGCGGCCACCCCATCGCTGTCCTCCCCTGGGGTCGGGTCCTGGGCTGCCTGACTGTGCAACCTCAGGACAGACTGCATGTCTCAGCTTTTCTGTCCTCGTCAGTAAAGACAGGATGACATGGGACTCTGCCTCACGGGGACCCCAGGGCTCTGTACACGGTGGCGCCGTGACAGTCCTCAGGGGCACACAGTCAATCAACAAACACACCCTCCGTGCCCACTGTGAGCCAGGCTGCACTGGGCTCCGGGGACGCACACCGTGAGGACAGACCGAAGCCCCTCCCCGGGGGCGGCTGTCCTGAAGGCCGCCCTGCTTCCCCAGTACATGCCCCTGCTGGTGCTGGACATCTTTGAGGACCTGCCCGGAGTCCCAGGCCTCTTTCTGGCCTGTGCCTATAGCGGCACCCTCAGGTGAGTGGCCCCGCGCCCGCCCAGCCACGGCTGAACCCCTCAGGGCCTCTGTGTCCCCACCAGCCACCCCTCTGCAGGAGAGAATGTTCTGGGCATGTCCCTCATCTACAGCCCCTGCTCGGTCCCCAGCGGGCAGCTCAGGTGAACTCCAGCCGAAGGCAAACCCTGGGCATAAGGACCCCAGCCAAGGGGTCTTCACCTCTTATCCCCGGGGAGGGCCACACCCGACCCCCCCCGTTCCTTCCTCCCCCAAACAAATGTTTAGTGACCAGCTACTGTGTGGAAGGTACAGCTGTTCTAACTCTGGGGCACAGCCATACCCAGCGGTCCCCCACTCCAGCCCTCAAGGCCTCACGCTCGGAGGTGTCAAGTCCTCCCTGACTCCTGCCACACCCCTGCCCCTGCTGTGACCAGGGTCCCATGTGGCGGTTCTCTGTGCCCTGTTATTGCTCTGTAACTTAAACTTGTGTCATTCTTGCCCTGCTTCATGGGGGGCTGTGCGGTGGGGGGTGGACATCTCCACCCTTGCGGGACTCAGTCACCCACGCCTCTGCCCCTGGGCTGGGTGGGGTCCTGGCAGGTCAGATAGTATGGGCAGCTGCGGGCCTCCCCCAGCAGGTGGGCCCCAGAGGGGGTGTGGCCAGTCCCTTGGTGTGGCCTGACGACCCCCGCCCCGCCTCGTGCCCCCCAGCACCGCATCCACCAGCATCAACGCCATGGCTGCCGTCACTGTGGAGGACCTCATCAAACCTCGGCTGCCGAGCCTGGCGCCCCGGAGACTCGTAGTCATCTCCAAGGGGCTCTGTGAGTTGGGGGGACCCGGGTGGGGGCCAGGGGCGCCGCTCCCTGTTGACCGCGCCGCCCCATCCGCTACAGCGCTCATCTACGGCTCCGCCTGCCTCACCGTGGCGGCCCTGTCCTCGCTGCTGGGGGGCGGCGTCCTCCAGGTGAGCCCCGCCCCGCCCCCGCCCGTCCCCCGAGGGGCCGGCGTCGTCCGCAGAGGGGCCTCTCCTGTCGACGGCAGAGCTGCGTGTGTCTGATGCCACCGGGCGGCAGGTCCTTCCCGCCGCCACCTGGCTGGAGGAGGGCGGGCAGGTGGGGGCCTGGGGGCAGGAAGGGCCCGCCCTGGCTTGGAGGTGGGACAGCATTTGTGAGGACAGAGAACCGCATCTTGGCCTCCCACTTAGGGGGAGAGGGAGAGGCGGGAATCGGGAGTCCCCTCCCCTTTAGGGAAACCGAGGCACGGAGGCGTCTCGAGGCCCACAGTGGGACCTCAGGTCCTGCCTTCCCAGCGGGTAGAGGAGGCCGGAGGGCGGGACGGCTCCGCCCTCACCGCCCCCCACCCCAGGGCTCCTTCACCGTCATGGGAGTCATCAGCGGCCCCCTCCTGGGCACCTTCATCCTGGGCATGTTCCTCCCCGCCTGCAGCACGCGGGTGAGCGCGGGGCGCGCGGCGCG